CTTATCACCCCGCACCTCTGACCTGTACCCCAGTTCTGTATGCATAAATAAATAAATCTTTAAAAAAAAAAAATGAACAGGGGCCCACCCTGGTGGTGTAGTGGGTTAAAGCACAGCACTAAGCTAAAAATCACTTCAGCATAAGTTTGATCCCCACCCCAGAGGTGATTCACATGGCACAGAGGATCTCTCCTGACCACCCCCACCCAACACCCGCTGCTCCCCTCAGCAGTGTACTTTGTCAATCTGCCTGTTCTGCTCTGTTCTGTTCCCCACTCTGTCTCTGGTGAGTACTCTTATCACCCCGCACCTCTGACCTGTACCCCAGTTCTGTATGCATAAATAAATAAATCTTTAAAAAAATATATGATCAGATAAGTGTTAAGGGATGTGTAAGAGTGGTTTTCTTCAGAGCTTTGCTTACAGCAGTACTTAATCAACACTTTGATAATAACCCATTCTCCATGGTGCTATAATTTGTGTGTCCCCATTTATTCCACAAAACTTTCTTTTCTATGACAACTGTAATAAACAAGTCAAATTAGAGTTGAATTTTTGACAAAAATGAATAAGCTCTAAAGAAGCTTCTGGTAGCTGAAAATAAATGTGTATTTCAAGTCAACACAACTTTTCAATAGACACAAAACCTCTACTCCTTTCAGTAAGTTTCTGAGATGCCTTCTTAGTAAAGGAAGCAGTGCACACAAGAACAGCTGGTTCACACTCACAGTTCAGTCAATACTTGCCCCGTCCCGAGACAGTGACATTTGACACAGGATTTCAAACAAATGAAAGGCTAGGGACTGTGGCTCATATGTAGAGCCAAGAGCTAAAATATGTCCTGGTAATGACACCATTATGTCAGTTGGGAGGAGAATTATTAATGACTGTGATCATTTGTTTTATCTCAGAGGTCACAGACTCCTGTCCCTTGCCTTCCTCACCTTTTGTCACTGTCCTCGGAGCTGTCAGAGATCACACCTCTCTAGAGCCTCCATGTCATTGAACTGAACTTCAATTACATATAGTCTCTTCAATTACAACTCCAATACTCTCCCACTCTTCATCAGCTATTGCTCCTTTATACATCACATTCATATAAATTTAAAATGTTATATTATGCATTTGCCTTTAAATCTTATAAAAGTGGAGTACAGTCGAGTCATACTTCTTTGTACTTGTGTATATACTTATCTTTATAAGAGAATTTCATGTTTTAGTACAAATTCAAATTTATGGTCAATGTCCTTTTATTTCATCCTGGAGGACTCCCTCTGACATTTCTTGTAGAGAGGGTTTTATTGAAAATAAATTTTCTTAGCTTTTGTTTACCTGAGGCTGTCTTAATTTTTCCCTTATTTTAAAAAGCAGCTTTTCCCAATAAGGAATTCGTGGTTGATGTTATTTGTCCTTTCATTACTTGAAATATATCACCCCAATGCCTTGTGGCATGCAGGTTTCTTTTAATAATCTTATTGGAAATCCTTCATTTGTGATAAATAACTTTACTATTAAAGCTTTTAGGATTTATTCACCTTTGTCTTTCAGTAGTTTAATTTTTTAAAAAGATTTATTTATTCAAGCAAGAGTTATGACACAGGCTAGAAGGTAGGAGTGATAGGACACCTCTAGGGACAGAGTTGGAGCAGAACAGGTGGATCTACTGAAATACACTGCTGAGGGGAGCAGCAGGCCAGATAGGAGAGGTCTGCTGCACCATGTGGGTCAGCTCCCTACTCAAAGATTTAACTCTTGTTGTGGTGGCTGCCGATAGCTCAGGAGTGCAGCATTTTATGCCCTGGCACCACCAGAGAGGCCCCAGTAGTTTGATGTTAATGTGACTCTGTGGGTTTCATTGATCCACTCACTTGGTATTCAGTAAGTCTCTTGTATTTGTACATCCATGTCTTAAAATTTGAGTGTTTTCTTCAAATAATCTTTCTCTGTCTCTCCTCATCTTCCCTTTCTCCTCTTCTCTGTCTCTGTACCCTTCACCTCTTTGATTTTTCCCCTCCCCTACTTTTATTCACTTGTTAATCCTCTCACTTCCTCCTTTCCGTCCTCCTTCTTACTCCTTTCTTCTTTCTTCTTACTCCCAATTGGCCACATTAGGATGTCCCAAAAGCCTACTCTCTTTTCATTTTTACATTTCACTTTTGTTCCTCAAGCTTAGTAATTTCAGATGACATAGATGTTTTGTTTTTTACTGATTCTTTCTGTTTTCTGCTTAAGTCTCTTGTGGAACTTCTTTTTGCAGGTTTTAATGAAGTCATTGTGTTTTCAACTTTAAAATGTGTTTGGTTTTCCTTTGTGGTTTCTATTAATTTGTTTTTAATTCAGTTTTTCATCCATGCTTTCCTTTAGCTCTTTGAACATGTTTAAAAAAAATTGTAAAGTTTTCATCAAGTGTACCTGATGCCTGTGTTCTTCAGGAATGATCTTTGATAATTATTTTCTGCCTTTGAATTAGCCATGTAATCCTGTTTCTTTTGGTTTAATATTCTGTATTTTTCACTCTTTGACATTGTGGGGGCCTTGCTAGCCTAACAAGTGGACTGTCATTTGTAGGGACAGCTAACTACTAGAGACAGCAAACAACTGATCTGCCCGTGTGCCTGTAGATCCATCAGGTTTTGATTTTGACTTGAATATTGAAAACATTCCCTTTTATATCATCCTACAAAAAAAACCATTTATTACTCCTATTACACATACACAGATAAAGAGGGAGGGAGATTCTTCTAACTCTCCTTCAGTTTCTTTACAACAAAACTTCAATAAAGCAAATTCATTTGTCTCCTAACCCTCTAATACAACCTCTTTCTACTTCATTCTTTCTACTTTGATTTCCGTAACTGCACTCCACTGCTCTCTGGAGGTCAATAGCCTAGTTCCTGTATTCTCATTCTTTCTGAGTATTGGGGCATATTTTCTGCTCTTCTTGAAATCCTGCTCTTCCCTGTGTGAACATCTTCCTGCCTTGGGAGCTGCAATATCTCTGTCCCCTTCCTTATTAGCTGAAAGTTTGCCTGGTCTGTGTAAGATCTGATTCACTTAATTTAGTGTCGCTACTAAGTTTAGGGCTAGATGTCTTTTACTCATAACCATGCTACTAACCCTGTCTCTCTAGTTATTTTTTTTTTTGTCTTGAATTTCTGATGAAACACTTCATATTTTCATCAAATATGCAAATTAAGTCCAGCTTCTCTGAAACTGTACAAATGGCATTACCCATTCCTTGAAAGTGTCTTATTCTCCTAACTCATTTCTCATAATGCTATCATTACTAACCATTAATGGTTTATATTTTATATACTTTAGACACTCCTTCTACATTTTTACATTTGTCAGGTTCTTTATAATCTTTCCTTCCCTGTTCCCAATACTTCAACCTTTCTTCCCAGCTGTCTGAACATTTCATTTGTTGACAGTTTCTCCTTACCCAGGTATGAGTCATTTTTAAATTGTGAACAACATTATTTTATTCCAGTAAGTCAAATGATTGCAAATAGATGATTCTTTCCAACATATTTTGATCAGATTATTCCCATTTTCAAACAAAGATAAAGGCTGTCTATTTTCTTTTTTGAAAAAAGAAATATTCTTTACTCTGTCAATCAAGGTCAAGCAGAATTTGACCTCAGACAACCTCTCAAAGTTCAACAATTATCTCTTTATGCTTATTTTTAAGCTGAAATTAAATGGGCTCCTCTATAAAACTTTCACATATAATATGATTTCTCTTACATCAATAATGCCTATAATAGCTTCTGACATCAGTCACTTTGCTGCCCTTTAAGTTCAATATTAGTAATTCCCATCTATGGAGCATACCCCATCCATGCTGATAAGAAACAATGTCTCGATATGATTTGGAAAAAAAGCAATGATAAACAGGATTTATTGTCGATTAGTCTTTGAATCAAAGCATGATCCCATTACTGAACTTGCTGAAAACCATAATTGGAAGGTAATTTCTCTGAACTCCTGTATTCTACTCAATTAAGCTGGCAAATATTTCACACCTTACAAAATTAATTTCAAAATTAAATGAGACTGAGGATATTAGATAACAAATGGAACACCCCTTATATTTCAGAAAATTAATACTTATCACTCTTTTCTTCCTCATCTATATGACTGTATAGGACTTCTTTTGTACTGTTCTAGGTTTTTTTTTTTTAATATTCCATGCAATCATTTCAAAATAATTTACTAAAAATTTAGTGCCAAGAAAAAAATAAATGTGAAATAATAATGTAAGGTTTTAGTAAAATGATAGCTGATAGCATACCAAAGTAATTGTTTAACATGTATTGCCCTGTGTTAACACTTTAAAAATATATTGTGTAAATAAATAAACTATTTCATGATAGGTATGATCTTTTTGTATCTACATATACTGTCTTTTATTAATTTTTAAGAAACTAAGTAAATAGATAAATTATAACTATAACTATCCAATCCAAGTGAAGCATGTAACATACCCTTAAACCAAACTCACTCTGGATTCTAGAAAGAACCTTTATACTTTTTCAAAATGAGATTTATTTAAGTAAGCAATAAACATTGTTATTATTTCAAGATATTAAAGTAATTTATAACAAATCCACAAGCACAAATAACTGATGGATTGAGTGTCCAACAATTATGGATGAACCTTATTGTTTATAACAATATTTTACATAAGTGTGCCTTTAACAACAGAATTTATTCTTGTTCCCATATGCTATTGAAGTCACTAGGAGATGACTCTCAAGTCACTTTTTACTCTCCTCTTCACACAGATGAGGCCATATTTTTCAAAAAGGCAAAAGGGATGTATATTGATTAGAAAATAGAGGAAACATGGCCCATAACTTTGTAAGTATTTACATGTAGACTGGCTGGCAAGTATGATTCTTCACATTCCTATTCAGAAACTTTTCTTTTTATACAGTTTAAAACATTTTCCTTTCTTTTGAAAGCAGTGAATTATAAAACATGAAAAATAGCATTACCATAATTTCTCCAGTCCACATCAGGGGGTAAAAACTTCCACAAAATAAGGTTGTTTAGATGGTTTAAATAGGAAGGTAGGGAATGAAAACCCTTCTGATTATACCAAACCTGTAAACGAGAAAGATAACTTAATGTCTCTCATGAAATTAGTTCTTAAGTCTATTTGACACATGCATTCTCAGACAAGAGGGATGCATATGTCAACTACTTTCAATAGCACCTGAATGCAGGACTCAAAGTAATGTTCTTGCATAGATGACAGTCAGTGGTAAATATCAGTCTGCTAATATTGTATTTATCGCAAGCATATAATTTGCAGCTAAAAATAGATTAATTTTTCCCAGAACAAATGTGAATGCTACTCTATAATTATATTCTCATAGAGAAAAAAGAACCTAAGCACATCATTTTTTTTTTCTCAGTTGGTAAGCTAATGAAATTTGACCCACAAATTAAAAGTGTAGAAAATTACCATAAAAAAAGATCACTTTAAAATTAATAACTGAATATGGGAAATTATTTCTCAAAACAAAATCAACTGAACATTTGCTGAGAATAGAGAATGAAATACATTTTTCAGATAGGTGACAGGTGAAGGAGAAAATAGATAATGTTATTAAAGTTAAGATAATAAGTAGTGTTAAAATATTAATTGAACTGTCAGTATCAATTTCAAAATATCAAAATAGGATGAAAAAATTTAAAAATGTACTCAGTTTGGAAATCTGGTGTGTGTCTTCAATTATAATTAATCAATGTGCAAATTGTGGTTTCAAGTTAATCGATTAGAAAGCTAATTTGTCAAGGCAATGCTATCTTTTGTTACAGGAAACCCCCTTTGAAGAATTAGAACTAACAGAAAGTTATTGCTTGAAGAAACCTATGTAAGTTCTTATAAATTATGTGAAGTTAGGACCAAATAGTGTGCTCTTTGCCTTTCAACCCATTTTTTTCTATCTTATCATAACCAGCATCCTGTCTCACAACTACAGTAATCATGGGTGTAGCTAAATACTAAACTGTTGTTCATGTATTTGAAAAAATAAACCCTGTCAATGCATGATAATGTACACTGATTCTACCTCAGATAGCCTACCATAATAAGCAATTCATAAATCAGTCCCTTTATCTCTTTCACATCATCCACTAATCATTCCTTCTTCAAATGTTGTTCTTAAGTTCAAACAAATTATTGAAAGCCATTTTATAACTCTAAGGAGGAAGGCATATAGCTTGAGACCTAGTAATTATGGAGTCCTCTATAGTATAGCTTAAAAGATCTAAGTGGAACTGTGTAACAAAAATTTAAGATACAAATGTGAATTCACAAGTGTGTGTGATTCACATAATTGTGAAATATAGTATAAAGTATGGAAGGATCCACTTTGAACCAAAGGGTTATATCAGAGTATTTCTACTCTGTACACCACATGGAGTTTTCCCTCCACACAGAAATGCTTTATTATCTGGGCTCTCTTGCTTTCTTTACTCACACATACTCCTACAAATATCGGTAATAGTCCTGGACATGACAGAAACTTAGATGTTGTTAAGGTCATAGGATGGGATGATATAAGCAAAAGAGCCATCACCTAGGGAAAATGGGACTGTTCACTAACACAGATCTTCATCTTTTCTTCCCCAAGTCTTAATTTCCTTAACTGTTTAGAGAAAATACATATAGACAATGGGAATCTTTGTATTCAATCAGGATTTTTCAAATGTTTTCTTTTAAGGCAGAGTAATTTTCTTTTCAATTTAAAAGTGACACTGTACAATGCAATGGTGTAGTCACCCAATAGAGCCGGTTTGATGGAGTGGTATGGGGAAGTCATTTGCCCTCATTTTGCAGAGTTGATGGTTTCTGATTTGGGATGCATTTATAGCCTTGCTTCTTTACATTTCCTGTAGCCATACAGTTTTCCAACTGCTGTTTATGTCCACACAGTCTGACTCTATATTAAGTTATATCACTTGTTTTGGCCAATGGACAATGACAAAAAATGTGTGAATAGCCCTTCTCTCCCATTGTGCCTGTGCCACCACAATGGCAGCCTGCCCAGGCTACCCAGCTATAAGATACGGTCAACAGAGGAGATCTGAGTCCTCAGTAGCATCCTAGCTGAACCTGCATGCAGCCAACCATACCAGAAACACTGTCTAGTCAGGCCAGCACAGCCTAGAGTGCAGAGTCCACACACTCATAAGCTAAAGAATATGTGTTGTTGAAGCCAATGAGGTTTATCATTATTTCTGTTATATAGCATCATCATGGCAATCATGTGAAATGTTACTGTCACAAAAACTGAAAATATGTGACACCAATTTGATCAGCATTTCGGTGACAAGAAATAATTAGAAAAATCTGAAAAAACATAAGAAACCATTAGCAATGCTGGGGGGAAATGCTGGAAATCTGCTACTGATAACTGAAAAATGACAATCCTTATTGTGCAAAACACCTGTTAAAATCATCAACCATGATAACATCAAAGACAGATTTATTACTAAAAACCTCTTGAACTCATATGGATCTCTCTCAGAAAAGTACTGGAAAAGATGACTTCAAAATAAAGATGAAGTAGGAATGTGATAGTGAGAAATTCTGTAAGGATTGCTGAAAAAATTATGGTGCTAAGTGACACTCGAGTAAAAAAAAAAAATCTAGAAACTACAATACCCTGACAGTCCCCATAAACTTAGGGTTAATTTTAGAGAGAACTGTATGTATCATGTCTCATCCAGAATTATGAGTATGTTAGTTGATAAACAGAAAGCCTCGAGTGCTCCACAGGATGCTGAATCAGGAAGGCTGAATCAGGAAGGTACCATCACAGAAGTGTAGATAGCTCAGAGAGTGCAAATCCTCTCTACAAAAAGAAGCAGGGTGAGAGGTTGTCAAAAAGTATAGCTCCTGGGGCCTGCCTGGCAGCACATGAGGTTAATGCCCAGCACTGTGAAGCTATCTGCAGCCTCTGTGGCATGAGTTTGATCCCAGTCAGGGAGGTGACCCATAGGGCGCAGCAAATCTCTCCTGACCATCCCGTTATTCTCCTCAGCAGCGTATTTCAGTTAATCTGCCTATTCTCTCTCCATTGTATCTGTGAATCCTCTTATTCCCCGAAACTATGGTCTATAGTCCAGTTCTTGGATGCAAATAAATACATTTTTTAAAAAGTATATCTCCACCTATCCTATAAATAATGACTATTGATGATGTAGGTCAAACTGACAGAGAAGACAGTTAATGGACATTGAGAAGGTGGAAGTGGGGAATATGTTGTAAGAACAAGTAGGGTCTAATTGGGGAGCATTTTCCAAATATAGAGTCTGGCTTCATGACCACATACAGCCACAACAGTCTGGTCCCAGATACTCATGAGCTAAATGAATACTACTTGATGGTACTGATGAGTGTGACTGTATTGCAAACAGCATTACTTTGTCAATGGAAGACTGATTTCAAAACAGTTTCAAGGAACAGTATTCTTGAATGTTTCAAATATTCTGGTTTTTTTTTAATATTTATTTATTTATGCATACAGAAATGGGGTATAGGCCAGAAGTACGGGTTGGTGAGAGGACTCACCAAAGACAGAGAGCAGAACAAACAGATTGTCGAAATATACTGTTGAGGGAGCAGCGGGTGAGACAAAAGGTCACCATGTGAATCACCTCCCTGGCCAAGGATAGGACTCACACTAAAGCAGCTATGGTTAGCTTGCAGTGCTGTGTTTTAAGCCGCTGTACCACCAACAGTGGTGATTTCAAATATATCAATTAATCTTTACTTGATAGAAATTTTATCATTTATGTAAAAAATGATAAACCTACATTCTATGATGATTTTAAAATTAATATTTAAGATTCAGTGGAGTTCAAAAAAAGAGTTATTTTCTCCCCTGCCCTCTCCCAAGAATGGTTTTCTAAAACACTGAACTCTGTTCCAGAAATTGATTGTGGATTTCCTCCCCTGCCAGTCCATAAGTCAGAAAACATAACAATACAGTAACTGAAGAAGGACATTAATCCCCTTTTAGGGACATATTATGACACTGCAAGCAGACTTTTCATGCCAAGAATCTGAGTAACATTTCCTCAGAAAAGTAAATAACAGTAAAAGAAAAAAAAATCACTCAATGGCTAGTCAAATGTCTACAATTCGATCCAATAACCAAGAGAATGCCAAACACAAAACACCAGGAGAGGAAATGTGTTTGGCCATTTTTATATGTGTAGTGCATGCTTTCTAGAAGCTGTTTTAATAAGCTAACCACTCAAGACATGAATACAGTAACTCATAAAGGCTCCATGAGAGACATTCTACAGCATAATAAATTTCTTAATATTCACCTGTTCTTATGCAAATTTCTCATTTCCTCTTCAAAATGAGTATGAAAACCATACAGCCTATGGATTATAAATGTACCCTAAAGGCCAAAGTAAAAGGCCAGCCATTAATAACTGAAAGGTTAATGCAATAATTTGACATAACATCAACCACCAACAGTGACTGTAGGTATTTCAGATTACAGATGCCCTTTACAGCTCACTGCGGTATTCTGACTACCTGGCTTCCTAAAATGAAGGTCACTCTCTGAAAGGCTAGATACAATTTGTTTGCATGACTGCACCTGGTAAAACATGGATCAAACCGAAACTACAGAAGTCTCTACTTAAATATGTCTGTACAGAAACAAATCTAGTTAGTAATGAATTAGGTGTCAGGACAACATGTGAACCTTGTACACCCTCATCACCAAAGCAGGAATGGAGGAAGATCTATGCTCTAGATGTCTAAAAGTGAAGACACAGCCATCCACTATAGATAAGCCTGTTGGAAATTGGTATAGATAGTGCAATAGGGACCTTCATGGTGGCAGTAGTTGGAGACATACATCTGAAGAGGTGTGATCTACCTCTAAATCACAAATAATCCTTTGAAACAATGCAGCCCCAATAAAATAAAATTTTAACTTAATAAATGTTTTATATTAAAAATCAAACATGAGATTTCCTTCTACAGTTTAGGCATATTTTCAAAACAGCCATATCCCATGTTCAAAATCCAGCCAATTTAATTTAGTATTTTTTATCAAGCTATTGATCTTGACATTTTCATGCCAAATCATAAATGTTTGTGTTATCTGTAAAGTAATAATAATCAGAAAAAAAACCTTAACTGACAGAAGGATTTAAAACACAAAATGATTTAAAACTTTTGTCATGGATTACATTTTAAATACCTATAAATGACCTTTGAAGTACATGTAAACTGCTAACATGCACAAGCCATATTCTCATAAGCTCTTCCAGATGCCCATGAATCATGAAAATCCCCCTGACAAAATAGGGACTTTCTTATGCTCACTTAGGTCAACTTTATTTCACTAAACATGTAATGGATTTACTAGAAAACACAACAGTCACACAACCTACTATTTCATACTTCTTTTTCAATCAGATACCAGCCTATTTCCTCAATCATTGAGCAAAAAAAAGCTTTTAATCCTTCAACTTACCCCATCTAGAATTCAAGTTACTTCCATCCTTGGAAAAACCTCTGTTATGATTCCCCAATTCTGGGTGGAGAAAAGAGAATCTATCCCACCCCTCATTCCATTACACCTGAAGATCCCTCCTACCCATCCTCAATAATGAGAATTCACCCTAATTCTGGGATAGATTTAGTAGGAATCTGGGTTCAGGTGTCTACAAGTAGCCCTGAGTCGTTGCCACTTTTTTTGTTCGCCTACTGGAAGTTCAAGGATTGAAGTGTATGCAAGAAATAGTTCTTGACCACAAAGAAATGAGTAATATTTCCAATTATTCTGATATGTGTTTAAAAAATATCCTTTGCTTTAGATATGCTCTGAATTAAGTCTTAACCAAAAGCACAGTAAATTACATGTTATGTGTGTGTACATTCTCAAGGAAAATAATTCATTTTCCCTTTCAAGGGAATGTTTACTTACATCTGTTTTTATTTCAAGTAACAAGCACTGGGATTTGATTTGATTCTTCCTGTGCCCTTAGATATATTTGGATACTGAGTTTCCCTAAAAGATTTTCAGAATAGGAAGAAAGAAAGAAAAAAAAATCCATCACCTTTTCCAGAGTTTTGGGTTTAGATATTTTTGAATGTGCACCTTGAACTTCTTCAGGGGTGTGCACTCCAAAAGACCAACCTCCGAGCCTAATAACAAGAAACAAGGCATTAGTGCTTTGATTAGGGAGCTCCAGGACTCCTAGAGAGAGGGATGCTCATCGCCAGCTGTACAGAGAAGAGAAGCCTGTGGAGCCTCTGTCCTGGAGATGGCCACACAGGAGGGTCAGCGAGCAGAAGGGTCCTGACAGCACAGGAGGCAGGTGTCCAGAGAAGACACTGATTAGCGAGAAAGTATAGCAAAGATATCCCATGTTGGGAAGTAACATCTTAGGACATAACACTTATATAACATGGTTGTAAAGGAGTTGTTGTGGTCATCAGTATTCAGATTATTTTTTTCATGCTATTGTTCCCACATAAATCAGCTATTCTGAGTATCCTAGTCAGCCATGGTCTTTCAACCTACATTTTCTGCATTATTTTGTCTTTTCTATCCTTGTTTCTTTCAACCTCAACACAAATATTACCTCCTTCAGGAGAAAGTCTTCCCAGAGTACTTCAGTTGGGATAGAGCTTACTGGTTCTCACAATGTTTTTCCAACCATTGTATCAATTGCCATTCTGCCCTTCAAGAGGTGACTTGTTAGTTTATATTACATGCAGTTCTATGAGGGTTTCTGGGTGACAATTAGATCATTTATCTCCATGTTCCATGGACTGTGTCACATCTAGCATCTATAAAGCTTCCAAAAAATATTGTACATTAGAAATAAAGGCACACACTGAACTTTTTCCCATTCTGAATGAAAGGAGTTCAAAGTACAAAATTCTGCTATAGTGTCCTTTCAGAAAACAGTTGAGGCAAAGCAATACGCATATGTTCCTACCTGACTCAATTTAACTCATGTAGTCACTCATTTGAAAGTCATGTACTATCTTTCATGTGACAGATACTAATCTAAAACTTGGGCACACAAACCTCTACCTTCAAAAGCAGATATTCTGGGACAAGTTCAAAGATGAAGAGGAAGGAGCAGAAGAGGGCCTGACAAAGTTCACTGGGAGGCACATTGATACTGGGACATCAATGAGAAAGAAGAGAGGAGAGAAGGGCAGGGGTGTCCTAGACATGCAGACAGACAACAGGGTATGGTTTTACTGTAGTGACGCCATGCATCTGGTGACTAAGAATATGAGGACATGTCAGTGTGACTATAATTAAAACAACTGAAAAATGCATTCTTAAATGCTTCTATATTCATCCCCTTGGTCTCAAGGGAATTTACCACATAAGAAATCTTTCTCCAAGATTTACTCAGTAATCAAAAAAGATAAACTTGTCGCTCCCTGGAAGCACAGAGGGTTGGAGCACTGCACTGGGAAGTTAAGCCAAGTCGTGACCACTTCAGTGCAAGTTTGATCCCCACCCAGGAGGTGGTCCACATGGTGCAGCAGATCTCTGCTCTCTTGCCTGCTGCTCCCCTCAGCCTTGTACTCTGTCGATCTGCCTGTTCTGCTCCCCTCGTTGTTTCTGGTACATTATCTTGCTGCCCTTGCACCTCTGTCCTGTACCCCATTTCTGAATGCATACTTTTTTTTTTTTTAAAGATAAACTCATGTCACTTACAGCAACATGGATGGAAATGCTAAGAAAATAACTCAAATGAAAGAAGAAAAATACTGAGCAATTTAACCTATTTGCAGATTATATAGAAAATAAAGTCATAGGAAAAATATATCTTGCAAACTGACCATACAACTGAGGAATCCAGGAAGGAGAGAGAAGAAAGACATCAAAACAGAGGAAGGGAGAACACAAAGGACTGTGGTGATGGGTCTTGGGTACTATGGTGGTGGGAGATCTACAAGGATTATACCTGAAGGAATCAAATGAGGGCCAAAAATTAACAACAATATATGAAAAAAAACATACATTTTAAAAATTCACTCAAGAGGACTTTTTTTTTTCATTTTAGGTGATTATATTTCATCTTTTATTTATTTAATTATTTATATATGTATATCTATCTAATTTATCTATATCTATATATATCTATGTAAGTAAAGATATATATAGATATAGATAGATAGATATAATTATATATTTTACATCATTCTTCATTTGGTACATTTTTAATCCCCATGGATTTCCCACCACCAATTCACCCATGTGCCATCACCATAGTTTTAAGACAACAATTGTTCCCTGGTTCCATATTGAAAGCTGATTATAGAGGCATAGAATAGGAGTCTATTGTTTCATTAACCTGTGCACTTATCTGCACTTACTCCATAAAGCAGTAAATCACTAAAGGGAGTATCTGGCTCCCTGAATGAATCCAATGAACATGACTTACTCTAATACCAAAGAGCTGAAGTCTCCAGTAAGTAATTTTATTTTTTTGAACCCACCTTGGTTTTTCATTCGGCCTGAGCAGGTACTCCTCCAGGTTGAAGGCTGAGAGGTTCAGCAAGGTGTGACCCAGATGGTTAGTCAGGTAGGGTGCCCCAACACTTCTGTTTGGACACTTCTGTCATTATATCAAATAGATTAAATAGAAATGTATTTATACCTCACAAACAGGTTTACTGAGATTATTTGAAAGTACATATGTGATTTTTTCTAGCTTTCAAGTTATAATAAATCATTCATGGCCTCTTATATGGTCAGATTCCTCAAATTTCTCTCACAGTTACCTACATTTAAAATTACATCAGATTTTATTGCCACCCTTGCAGTCAATTCTATTTGGAAATTTCAAATATCCTTTACTGTATTTAAGTTTGGGAAGATTTACAAGAACCAAAGGGAAAATGTTTTCACTGTGGTATCTTCCAGTTGGTATAACTCAAAGAAAAATAACTAGTGGGAGGATTAGAAGACAATTTAAAGACATATATTCATTCCTAAATGCCTGGAGTTCGAGAAACAAAATCCCTTTTTCTAGCCTCTTACTCAAGGGTTAGGGGAAGATGCTCAAAGGAATGACAATTGTAATTAATTTTAATTTAGTCAGACTTAGTGATCTCCCTCAGAGGCTGACATAACAATATGTAACTTTTCCCTGCCTCTACCCATCCACCCCACCCTCACCAACCTCATTCATTATATCAGGGCAAATCTTTCCAAAATGTTATTTCGCTGAAAAATTCCAATTTCATCACGAAGTCAAGTCCAGAAAATAACCTCAAGCTCTTTTTCTAAACTTATCTGTTTTTTGTTTGTTTGTTTTTTATCTGCATATGCACTCCCTGTAGCAAACTGACCCCTAAAGGTGTAGGATCCAATTCTTTCAAACTCTCTGAAACCTCTTTGGAGATGGTATGGCTGCTTTATATGAACAGAGTATGCAGTTAATATTGTAGTAGGTGTGTGGAGATGAGGAGTTAGCCTTCCTGATTGCCAGGGTTAACCCTAATGGATTCAGAAGGGGGGAAAGGGAGGCGAAAAGGTTGTGTCTAAGAGAGAAGAGAAGGTTGTGTCACAGCAGAAGCCAAGGAGGGGAGAGGTAACCATGTTAAGGAATGCAAGAAGCCAACAGAAACTAGATGAGACAAAGAATACATACTCTCCTAGTGCCTCCAGAGAATACGCTTGATTTCATCTCCATGATAATTATTTCAGGAACTGAGTATAAACTTACGTTGTTTTAAGTCATCCAGCTGTGATAATTTGTCATATCAGTAACCAAATGTAAATATAATTTCCACTCATTCTAAATAAAGCTATACTCAATCCTGACTTCAAGTTTTTGGTCATTTTGCTGTTATTCAAAAAGATTTAAGTTCTGAAATACCCACTTATTCTTTAGAGTTAACTCAATCCAGCTCCCCTATAGGACACTTCTAATGGTGTTTCTTCAAAATAGTGTCTCCTTCTACAAAAAAGATATTTAGATGGACTACCACAATATGAAACCATGCTGAACATAACTTATTACTAGGAAAATGCAAACCAAAATCAAAATGAGGAAGCAACAGAAGTTGATTAGGATGTGGGGGAAAAGGAGATTCTTGCATTGTTCGTGGGAGTGCAATTTGATACAGCACACTCACCCAGCAATACCACTGATAGGTATTTACACAAATAATATGAATAGTTTAATAGGAAAATATTTGTGCACTCTTATGTCCATAGCCTCGTTATTCCCAATAGCCAATTCTTGGAACCAATCCAAGAACACAATGACAAGTCACTGAATCAAGGACTTGTGGAATATATGCTCAATGGAATATTACTTGGTTATTTATTTAAAAGATTAAAGTGTTCCTTTTAGAACAAAATAGATGGATTTTGAGGTGATTATGTTAAGTAAAATAAGTCAAAATATGAAAGATTGATATTGGATCGTGTCACTTTTATGTGGAATATAAATAACCAAAGGAAACAAAGTGGAAAGCACAGTAAACATAATTCTTAGACCTTTATGCTCCTACTATAAGCATAAAGGACCAGAGGTAAAATAATAATAGTAATAATGAACAACTATATACCAGAGACATTTTACAGGGGTGCAATGGGGAACGAGATCAAAAATGGGGGAGGGGAGTGCACGAGACTATGGTTATGGTACATGGGTGAGTTGATAGTAGGAAATCCATAGGGATTACAACTGAGATAGAAAAAGGAACAAAATGATGTAAAAATAAACTATTATAATAATAAAAAAGAAAAAAAGTAACTCTTAAAGGCTGTGAAAAAATATATAGTGGTAACCATAAGGAAAGGAGTTCAAAGGGAAGAAGAGAGAGGAGAATGAATGTGATATAAGCTGATAGGACAGCTTATATGGTGATTCTGATGCAGGGTATATGCGGCATGTGCATTATGGCACTGTGAAAATGCACTTCCAGAATGATACAGTTATGTAAAAACTGACAAATCAATACAATTTGAGGAAAAAAGCCAAACTGTACAATAGTGAATCCTCCCTCAGAAAAGGGGTCAACCATGGAAATATTTTTAAGTTTAAAGATAACCACAGAATTTTTCCTAAAATTACAAGGAAACAGACATGTTCTTGCAGACCCAGAACTTTGCAAGCACAAGAAAATTTAAGGAGGGGTAAATACTTTTCCTCTGACAAAACACAGTTAACTTGACTCAAGGTGTTTTCTAGAGAACAGAGAATTGACCCTAAAAATGAGCCTTCCTTTCACAGCCCCTGAGTGTGTCTCCTTCCAGCCAGGCTAGCAGAACAATACTCATTCCTTGGGAAGTCTGTAGCTTCCACCTCAACTTCCTGTCTCCTTAAATACTGTAACTTCTAATACAAAGCCCTGCACTTCTGTCAGTTGATCCCAAAGAGCACAGATACACAACCAAAAGATCCTGTAGTCAAATAACTTGTAGAAAATGTTGCATCTTTACTATCCCATTGTCATTTGAGCAGACATTATCAAGTAATAGCTTTTTAGAAGAGCTATAACAGAGATGTCTTTAATATGGCCTCATCTAGCATTTCTGAAACTCAGTAGTATAAAACTTTTCCATATGAAGTTTTTTTTATTATTTTATTTTTCTTAATTATATATTACGGGAAACTTAAAGTTCAGGTAAGTTTGGAAGTTGAAATGAATTTAGGAATATTGACATCCACCACTCTGATATTTACTAGTCATTCCTTCATTATTGATATTCAATCTATTTCCAAAAATTTGAGGTAGCTTATCATAAACGGCACCAATGCAATAGACTGATGACATCAAAACCATAGAATAAGAGCATAAAGGGAAAAACAGGAGGCTTTATGAATAAATGTGAAATAAACAAGATAGGGAAGAAACAAATTAGTATCATAAAAGAAAAAAAAAAAGTTTGAACAGAAGAACTAAACACAGCTGAGTTTATTGACAGCCTAGGCCCCAAGGGGACTTGAAGGTTCTCACTAAGACTGCTATCAAGCCCTGGAATGCCCATCCTAGGTGCTGATATTTCAATATCTTCTCCTTTATGACTCATATTTTCATACTGAAATGCTGGCCTCCATATGACTTCACATGGATCAGCCAAGGTTAGAAGAGCTATTATCTTAACTTTCAATATCTAGCTTTTAGAAACCAAATAAAATTATGACAACAGACTTGAGGCTATCCTGGCTTGAAATTTGGGGAAATTTCTCCCAAAGTACAAGTCTAGCTTCTTCAGCACTAAGTGATGGAAATTCATTTGTTTAATAAACACCACTGGGGATCTTACAATCACAAAGAGGGTAGTGAATAGAGGGACACTGTGCATGCCATCTGACATCTGTATTGTATAAATGTCAACATTCTGCAATCAGACTACTCTAAGAAATAACTAGTTGCATAAACTAAAAAGTCACAGGCTCATTTTATTAACAAAGTGAATATCTTATATAAACATTAAACTCTTTTTGTATCCTGAGGTTTACACTTTAAAAATATGGAGAAAAATCACTGGGGAAACGTACCAGACAGCCACAGGAATCCTGGACTTGTGGGTGAGGAAAGGGATCTGTGTGCCAGCATGAAGAATTCTCCCTAGCAAAACAAAGAAGAGAGCCTGCATGATCTGTGTGACTACAAAGCTATTGTCTTTCCATGAAAGAGAGCGCCATCAGACAAGATCAGAGTTCACAAGATAATCATCTCCTACTGCAGAAGGCAGAGCTCTTACATTTGTTTTCACAGCTTGAGCTGTTAATCTGATGACAATGTTTTATTACAATGACAATATTTCCATTACATTAAATGATGCTCAGTTGGTTAGCTGTACTGAATGCCCTGGCAAGGCTCCCTGGGATCTCCACTGAGGGGCCAGGGCTCTCCATGGATCCTAAAGGTCCTTGTCCCAAAATCAAGGATTAATATTCACAGTGAACTGTTAGTCATTGCTGTAATTTAATCATCATTTAAAGAAAAACAGGTTTTCCATTTCCATTATGAAGAAAGACTGTTTAACAGAGATCAATTTGAAGTGTTGAAAACCTTTTCTTTCAAAGATTCCTGATAACATTTTTCCTTCTAGGTCTCAAACTTTATTTTTTCACTAATGTGAGCAAGTTAAAAGTCATTTAGTAGTGATAATTATATGTATTTACATAGAAACTGGGGAGCAAATAAGGAGGGTAACTTATTGAACTATTGGCACCTGGCTAGATATTGTTACCAAAATCTCTTGTTTGCCCCACTTTCAGAAAAATAACTGCAGGTACTCAAATGTTAGGTAATTCAGGGAGAGACTGGTGTGCTGAGTGCAGGCTCTCTGCTCTGCAATGTGTGGTTCCCCCATGAACACACCTCCAGTTTAGTGAAAACAAGCATGCTATTCTAACAGCCAGGTTAACAAAGTACAATTCCTGTGTAAATTTTAATATAAAAATAACAAATACCCCCGAATGATTGTCTTGATCAGTGCGCTTTCAGGTACTCCAATTTGAGAATATTATCTAAAAGAGCTATATGTTTAAAAAGACCACTGTACTTGTTAACTCACTAATAATGACTATGTTGGCCCTCCCTGGTGGTGCAGTGGGTTAAAGCACTCACTAAGAAGCTAAAGCTACTTCCGCATGAGTTCGATCCCCGCCTGCCCCTGAGGTGACCACATGGTATAGCAGATCTCTCCTGACCCGCCTGCTGATACCCTCAGCAGTGTACTTAGTCAGTCGTCCTATTCTGCTCCCTACTCTGTCTCTGGTGAATCCTCTCACCGCCCCTGCACCTCTGGCCTGTACCTCAGTTCTGTATACATAAACAAATAAAACTTAAAAAAAAAAAAATAACGACTATGTTAACTTCTCAGGTTCTGCTTGCTTCAGGTGACTGCTAGCAAGTGTTTATAACTCACTGAATTTCTTTAAAGAACATTCTCCTCTTTCTTCAGTATTCTCCTCTTAGCATCTTCTTTTTTTTTTTTTTTTTTAAAGATTCATTGATGCATATAGAACTGAGGTACAGACCAGAAGTGCAGGGGTGGGTGAGAGGATTCACCAGAGACAGAGTGAGGAACAGAACAGGCAGATCTACTGAAATACACTGCTGTGGGGCGAAGCAGGCAGGTCAGAAGCGGCCTGCTGCCCCATGTGGGTCACCTCCCTTGCTGGGGATAGAACTACTGCTGCAGTGGCTATGATAGCTTCATAGTGCTATGCTTTAACCCATTATGCGAACAGGGAGGGCCCCTAGTTTCCTTTTACTGAGTAAAAATATGTCACCTTCAGAGTAAATTAATGACTAGAGAGATTTTTTTTTTTTTTTTAAATTTCAAGCCTGGACCTTCCCTGGTGGCACTGCGGGTTAAAGCACAGCACTAAGAAGCTACAGCCACTTCAGCATGAGTCCAATCCCCACCCTAAGGTGACCCACACGGTGCGGCAGATCTCTCCTGACCCACCCACTGCTCCCCTAAGCAGTGTATACTTGGTCAGTAAGCCTGTTTTTCTCACCACTGTGTCTGATGAATCCTCTCAACACCCCTGTACTTCCGGCGTGTACCCCAATTCTGTATGCATAAGTAAAATAAATCTTTAAAAAAAAATCAAATCTGGAAGCACCTCAGTGTCCAGGAATTTTGTGTTCAACAAAGAGTCACTGTAAGACTTAGTGAGCATTCATACAAAAGAAGAAAGAGAACAGATATGTAAGGAAATAAGTGTTTCTACTTAAATTTTCTTTCCTATTTCAGGATCCTGAACGCAAACCTCCTTTACTTTGAGTAGCACTGTCCTCCAGTGCTCAGCAGAACCAAAGGTAGCAGCGTTATTTCACAGTAAATATGTCTTGACAAAGGGCCCTTGAGCCTTTGAGAGGAGATTTGCTACATTAAACAGCAAGATTGTCTGAAGTTTTAATAGTGGATTGTACATTTTCAACCTCAAAAATAGAGGGAGACAGACACTATCTAGATCTACTCTCATGGGCATAGTTTTCTGAGATACAAACTTGCAAAAGAGAACAAAATGTCCTTCACAGGGGCTGTTGCTTCTAGAGAACTGGGAGTGTACTGTCAAAATAGGCAGCCACTACCTCAGTGACACTGAGAATAGGTGGTAGAGCTGGGGTGTGAGTTCAGGCAATCAGGCAGCTATACCCCAGAATCAAAGACTTCACCTGGAGGCTTAATATACCTGACTTAGGGAGGATTCCGGGAGAGACAGAATTTCCTGTTCCTTTAGATTAACTTGCTTAAACAAAGGGTTAAACAAATCAACATAAATTTTCTTGGCCTGTTGTTTTTCTCCATTCCCTATATTTCTGAGCTGTATCTTTATAGTTTATCAAGTAAGCTGGAAGAATGCAGAAGAACGGAGTTATAGACCTTGCAAAATAAGGGAGCTACAGACCCTGCAACCAGATCAGTACAAACTGGAGTTGCAGGCAAAAACATAGGCACACCCACACCTACAACCCCTTGAGCCCTACATCGTGGGTGCCCATAATTAGCAACAACAAATAGATATGGGCCAAGCTCATTTTCCTTGCTTTCTCAGCCAATAAAGTTAAATTCTTTTATTTTCAACCCCCACCCTAACCCTTATCCCAAGTTCTATTATCAACCCAGAGAGCCTCTCATGCCCAGAGGTCACCCTAGTTCTTTCTTTCATGCCCAGAGGTCACTCTAGTTCTTTCTCCAATCAGCACTGATTTCTTACCTATCCTCACCAGTGTCTGTGGAGTCTTCTTTTCAACTGTAACTAGAAAATTTCAAGAGCCTTTCATGGGTTTAGGATCAGGCCCTTCAGTCCATCCCTCCAAATCTAGCAGGTGGTTCAGTGGACAGAGGCTGGCTCACTCCAGGCTTATCCATTTATATTGAGGGGCAAAATGAGAACTGAAGAAACTCTGGGTCCTTCCCCGTCCAATGCCATATCCACTTTCTAGGTTTTGATCCATGAAGTCAACTCCATTCTTTTTGGCCCTTCATAGGAACTCTGACACCAGTCGGTCAACTGTATTCCAAAGAGGGTTCACAGGGCTTGGAATCTTAGTCTACCAAGTGATTGATCACACTTTACAACCTAATCACCAAAATTAATCATAACCATTGCCCCATCTGACATTTTAAGTTCAATGGAAATGTAAAACTACTGTCAACTACCAGTTTTGTTCCATTTAAAACAAACATAAGTGAATGGAACAATTGAGGATTTTAACTCTGAAATAGTTTAGGAAATTGTCACCAGAGCACAGATATAATCTCTGTAAAATGAAACTAAATATTTCAGTTTATTAGTCTGGCAACTTTAATACATTTTAAAATTTAAATCACACACACCCCACTATTATAAGAAAACTTATGTTTAGGGTCAGACTTACACCATAATTGCTTTTTCTGGAACCCATTATTGTCTTCTGCATGACAGGGAGGTAAAAGTAAGAAATATAACAGAACGCTACCATATGCGACATGCAGATCACCTCAACAGAAAAGTAATCAGTAAGCAAAATTGGCTATTACTGTAAAATTTTTCCATTAATTAATATTTAAGTGGTTGCTAAAGTCTGCCAGGAAAGAGAGATATAAAATAATAGTTTATTCTTAAAAAAAAAAAAAACTTTACTTGTTTTAAGTAAAACCTCTTACTTCTATCTGAAATGTTAAAAAATCAATCCTTGCTTGTGTGACATTAACTGTTAATGCAAGTATTTACAGGAACATTGTCACAGCAGGCCCCATCCCTTACATCCTGACCAAGTAAAAAGCTAGAATTTATTATGAAGTGAGACTAAGTTAAGGATAAATTATATGGATTGCAAAAAGAACGAAAGAAAGAAAGAGAGAAAACGGACAAAGCAGAAACACAGATTCAGAAAGGCAGAGGTTGGAAAGAAGGACCAGGAGGGTGGTGTTCAGGCAACTGAGGGCAGTGGATGTGGTGAACTGGGTAGAAAGGAGAGTTTGCAGGCCACCACACTCCTGTCAAGTAAGTGAAAATAAAATATATGTCCAGAAGGCATCGTGGATATGATCTGTTGTCCTTAGCATTGATTCTTATTTTTCGCTCTTGATAAAATCCATAAAAGAAGCTAATTGTAGACCTCCCTAGTGGCACAGAAATTACGTTTCAGCACTAAGAAGCTATCTGCAGCCACTGCAGCACAAGTTCAATCCCCTGCCAGGGAGGTGACCCACATGGTACAGCAGACCCTGCTTTCTGTTCCCCTCAGTATTGTATTTCAGTCAATCTACCTGTTCTGCTCCTCACTCTTTCTCTCTGGTGAATCCTCTCACCCCACATACCTCTGGCCTGCACCCCAGCTCTTGTATGCATGTATAAATGATTTTTGTTGTTGTTGTTGTTGTTGTTGTAGTGTTACATGGGGTTGGGGCAGGTGGGGATCTGATGACATTTCAATTTCTCACAAGTAGTATATTTTCCAATTTTTGTATTTTATTAAGGGAAGGTTGAAAAAGTATCAACAGAGAAACTTTTACTTAGTTAAATAAATTACTTTGTTTTTCAAGAGAAAGCTAAAGTGAAGTAACATATAAATTTTCTAATTATGTTTCCTTGCTGAGACCATTAATACATACTCAATGAGGAGTTAATTACCAACATAAGTGAGGGGGAAAATATGGTACCATGAACTAAAAGACATATTGCTATTATTGGATTATTGTCTAGATTCTTTATTTACTATCTAAAAACACATACTTCCAGCCCTCAATTTGTCATTATAGATTTTATCATTTTCATCATTTGTTCATCCCCAAATTATAAATTTCTGAGACCAGGATCATATCCTAGATCAATTTTCTTCCTAAAATAGCATTCTATTGTAGTAGATCATTACAAAACAGTCAAGCAAAATAAGAGAAAGTGAAAGAAAAATGTTCCCAAAGGACATACTTACTGAGGTTTATTAAAAGATCAACTTTATTATCATTTTCAAATGCAATAGAAATAATCTTCAAAATGATTCACCCCCAAATTGATGTTGATGATTTTACTAGTCCCTTTACGTAAAATAACAACTAATATTTTCATATATACATGTTTTCCCTAAAAATATATAATGTTTTATACACACTTCATACTTAATTGCCACTTAATATTTTTAATTTGATTTATTAAACAAATTGGTAATATTAATTATTAATGAATGTTTTGCAATAATATTAAGCATGTGTTTACAAAGGCAGAAAAGGAGCAATTATCTAGCTTATTTCAGGTCATTTTAGATGGCAGCACCCATTAAGCCTGTTCAGTACTAACATACTCATTACGCTAATGCTCAATTCATGTAATGTGAACTTAGACCATGAAATACCAATCAAGGAGAGAAATGTTCCTCAGAGTCGACACTGTTATTGATTAGAGCCTAAACTTTTATAAGGGGCATCTGATACTTACAAGCCTGGGGTTAAATCAGCACAGAGCAGACCCTGATCTCCAAACTTTTGCAAAAGCATGTGGGCAAGATCCATATCTTGGCTATCACTGCTGTTCTCCAGAAGACAAAAAAAGGGGTTGTTAATATAATTGATGAGATCACAGGAACACAGTCTGACTTCACAATATTCTTTCCTCAAGTTGATACAAGCAAGGAGGCCAGCCACTCAGCTAAAGCTAATATTTACTGTTTTATATTAAAGTCAAACCAGCACAACATTTTAAAAACACTTAGGAAAGTAATCTGCTCCTACTGACATGACTTTTATATGCTTGCACTCAGTATATTTTCATTTATATGTTATGCATTTTTAAAATAAATTTTAAAGACTGCATAATAGGATATCATATTAACATATTTAAGTCTTTACAAATATTCCCTTAATGTTGGAGTCATGGTTTGGTTGGAATATTATATGGTTTGATAACTATTTTACTTATATTTTGTTCCTCTATGTAAATTATATTCAGCAACATTGTCTTTGTAAGAAGGCCTTAGCACAGAATTTGTGCTTCAAAAACAGTGAATTATAGTATTTATTTTACTAGCAAAATCTTAGAAATCAATTAATAGCTAAAGCAGCACTGCTGAAAAGCAAGATGACAGTATTTTTTCCTTATTGAAGACACTATTAGCCATAAGACACACTATTCATTGAGTTTAGAAGCAGGTATGGAAACAAGTTCCATATCAAGTTAATATGTATAGTAATGTATGCATCATTTATGTTAGATGTATTATATATATAATCTATCTATTTATATGTGTGTATAAATTATATTCAACAATAGTGTCTTTATAAAAAGGCCTCAGCACAGAATCTTTGTGTTTCAAATATACAGTGTTGTATATATTAACACCTTGATTGGGGAAGATATAAATGATAAAACATTATCAACCTCTCAAAATTGGACTGTTTGGGAGTGGAGCTCACTTCAACTTAATGAAATTATGACATAGTGTTAATGAAGGAATAAAGATTTATAATTTTCCAAGATTTACATCATTTACAAAATACTCTTGAATAGGTAACATTGAGAATACTTACCCCCGTATTGAAGAAAATATATTATGAAGATGATAGATGATATAAATTTAAATGGTGACCTCAAATGTTTTGGAAAGATTGCACACAAATTACACACATGGTTTCTGTCAAAGATTTTCAGCACTAGTTCACCTGAATCAAGTAAGGAACCTCAACACAATCTTTAGGCACCAATTTTCTAACTGATTTCTTTGTTCATGTGAAAAGTAGATTTCCAAATATCAAAGCTGCTACAACAATCAAATACAGGGAGCTCTTTGGTGTATTACACCCCTAGATCCCAACACTACAAGTAAGTCTTCAGAGTAAGCAACAGCTTCCATAGTTCACAGCACATCATCTATATAAACATATATTTGACAAAAAAAAAAAAGTACTGATTTCTCAAAAGCCCTCTGTGAACCTAACAAAGAATCTGATATTTTCTCTGCTCAGAATTAATCAGTGGGCCCTTGTTGCCTGTGCGCCTTACAATTGCATTTAAATCCTTCCACGCTCCAGGCTTTAACATCTTGGCCCATTTCCCACAGACATTCCCAGAAGACACACCCAGCTTAGGTCCACCTGGCAGAACACCTTCTGATTTGGATCTGCCTTCTATCCCCTCTAATACTGCACCCCATTTCCCAGCCACCTGGGAAATGAAAAACCATCTCCAATTATTCAGTTCCAATAACCCCTTCTCTGCCTTCCTTCCCTGCCCCAAGGTCCAGATAACATCTCTTCTTCTAATCTCTTTACCCTTTACTTCTTTCTAATCTCTTCTGACCTCATCACTTAAATAAACAAAACATGAGAGAATAAGCACAAAATCTCAGAACAGTAGTCACAAAACAGAAATTTCTCATAATTTTTTTTCTTCAACAAATTGTGATGTTGAAACCAAGGTTAAAGGGTTAGATAGATCTCAGTTTCTGGGACACAAAAGAAAAGAAAAAAAAAACTGATTTTCACTTTCCTTTGAGATTTGCATTTACAAATAAAAGAGCCTAGAACCTTATCAGCAGGTGACTCAGTCTGAATATGTGCAGACCAAGCCCTCAGGTGGTCATAGTTAAGGGATATGTTGGCACAGAGGAAGGAGCTACCCAGAAGCAAAGGACCTACTAACCGGAATTTGACATTCCAATTATGTGAGAGAGGGAAAAAAAGGCCTCTTTTTCATACTACTCTATGTATTTATGTCCTACATTTGCATTTCAGCCATGTTTATGTTTCTTGCATTTACTGACTTTTAAGACAGTAAAGTCCTAACACCTTTGTTCCCAAACCCCACTCCTCCAAACTGATATTCTCCTTACCCTACCTATACAAGGAGCCACACTTGAAAGGGTTTATTTTTTTTTCCTCCTGTTTCCCTTCTCATCAATTTGTAAGCTATTTCTTTCTTTTCTTAAAACCAAGTATTATGGCCCTCCCTGGTGGCGCAGTGGGTTAAAGCACAGCACTGAGAATCTAAAGCCACTTCTGCATGAGTTCGATTCCCGCCTGCACCGGAGGTGACCACATGGTGTGGGAGACCTCTCCTGACCCGCCCGCTGCTCCCGCTGCTCCCCTCAGCAGTGTACTTTGACATTCGGCCTGTTCTGCTCCCCACTCTGTCTCTGGTGAAGCCTCTCACCGCCCCTGAGCCTCTGGCCTGTACCCCAGTTCTGTATGCACAAATAAATAAATCTTTAAAAAAAAAAAAAAACAAGTATTACAATCATCCATTTACACGCATGGATAACGATCCATTGTTTGGTAACAATATTATTAATGTGTTGAAATCATAGCCCTAATTATTTCTCTCTATCTAATTATTGATTTTGCTAATTGGTATTCCCTGACCTCTAACCATTCAGAAAGGAACAATTTTAATGGAAAAGAAAAAAATGAACTTCTTACATGAAATTAGTAGTACATTTCTGCTGAGAGCAACTTTATTTTCCATGTAATAATTGTATAAACCTGTTATGCAAACACTACTGTAACATCCAAGCCTAAAGAGAATTATTATTTATAGAAAAACATCCTCCCCACTACATGAAATGCAACAAAGATCTGTAAATATTCAGGTGGTTTACAGCTGACCTAATCTGATTCCCTACAGCTATGGACAAAAATATGCAATGACAACATATGCTGAAATTTACAAGGAAGTTATATCTTTATAGACATAAACAGTCTTCAACTTTCTGACAAATGAGCAAACACTTTCCAAGGAGAGAAATGCATTCTCCACTGAATTGCTGCCTGTAAAAAGAAGATGTTATTTGTGGCATCTTTAGAAATACTGTGAATTGCCCACCTTTGACTCATTAATCCAGGAACAAATGTTAACATTTAAAACATTTTTCTGAAAATTAATCTCCAAAGCAGTTGACTTGGAATAGTACTAAGAACACGCTTAAAAGTTATGGGTTATCCCCCTGTACCTCAGCCCACACCCCAGTTCTTGTATGCATAAATAAATAAAAATAAATCTTAAAAAAATAGTTATTGCTTATGTTTTACTACTTTTCCTTTTTGTATAGTTTCATAGGTCACTGTTAAAAACACAAACTGGCTTTAAAATGCCCTGCTGGCACAAAATTCGGATGCTTGTTCCTACTCTTGCTCTGTGGTTGACTTAAATGTCTTGGCTCTATTTTAAAGAGATGTTAAGGCTTTTTTTTTTTTTTTTTTAACTTATGCATACAAGAACTAAAGTGTAGTCCAGAGGTGCAGGGGTTGAAAGGATTCACCAGAGAGAATGAGGAGAACAGGCAGATCTATTGAGATACTGCTGAAGAGAGCAGTAGGTGACGTAGATGACACAGGAGACGTCTGCTGTGCTGTGCCATGTGTGTTATCTCCCTGCCTAGGGATTCAACTCATGCCACAGTGGCTGGTGATAGCATGATAGTGCTGAGACTTTTTTTCCCTGCACCACCAGGGAGGCCCAGTGTTTTCAAGTCTTTCTTACCAGACACTCAGCAGGAAATTAATGTTCTGTTGTAAAGCCTAAGGCAACTGTTAAATGAGGTCCTTTCTGTGCTCTCCAGATCAGCTTGTTGCAAAATTTAAAGTGCACCAGTGAACTAGGAAGCTCCACTGAGCAAATGCATGTTCCTAAACACCACCCCAAAGAGGTTTTGTGTTGCTAAAAGAGTCCCCTGGTGATTCAGACAGTGATCAAAGCAACCTGAACAAAGGGGTATTTCTAGTAGGACAGGTCACCCACACACACTTCCTCTCCAGTTTCCAACTCCAATTTTTCTCTCTCTCCTGGCCAGTTTTTAATAGAGCAGCTGGCTCCAGGGGACATTTTAGGCTTCCTAAGAGTTACTATAGGCAGAGATGAATCAGGTTTCTTCCTTGAGGGCAAGTAACATCTGAATACAATTTGAAGCCAATGGCAGAGACCAGTAAATACCTTTGGGATTGGCCATAGCCTCCCCTGGTCTCCCTGACCCCATGGAGTCAAGAAAAAACTGAATTGGAGGGGCAAATGTCATCCTACTCCTGACTCAGGGAGAAGCAGAAAGGATCACTCCCTCCCAAATGCAGCCTTCCCAGGTAGAGCATGACTTGACTGTATGGCTCTCAGTGCTGCCTCCAGCTCAGTTCTCCATCACTGGCCAGGGGCCCAGGAAACCAGAAAAATCTCAAACAGCATAGATATCTGACAAAAAAAATAAGATGCTGTGCTTGAAAATGAGTTAAAGGGTAAATGTGTCTTATATACATTTACCACCACAAAAATAAAATCACTCCGTGAAGGGACACCTTAAATAACAAATAAAGCTAAGTAATATAATTGAGAGTCACGTTCTTACACCAGACTTTCTGAAACTTAGAAATATGATTTTCCTGGCATTAAGACTGAAGCGATGGGATTGAATAAGAGGATAGTTACTGCTTAAATTCAAATAGCATAGAAGAATGATCACAAGTAGAAAGTAAAAGAGAAGGAAAATAAATCCACAGGAAAAGATAAACAACATGAAATACCAGTCCAGGAGACCTTAACTAACTTGAGATATACCCCATCTAAGAAGGTACAGGAAACCTGGAGATGATGAGAGATGATTCAATCAGTAATCGAAAAAATTGTCTGAACTGGAAAAAAAAGCCAAATTTGCAATTTTGAGGAAGTAAGAATAGAAAAAAAAAGGATATTCATTACAAAATAAAGAATACATTATCTAAGACACTTCCAGACAGAAAATGTTACTTAGGAGGGAAGGGCACCAGAGGGGATGAAGGGAATCAGCCTACATGCAGGGAAGCTGTGAGAGAGTGACCCTGTGTGTCGTGGGGGACACCGAGGGATGGCCAGCACCCAGACAGCCTCGCAGTTTACCCCTGCAACTTCCAGAAGAGGCACCCTTCACAGAGCAGGGAAGGGGAGAAACTGATTTCTGCCAGGTTCATTTTTTTTTTCATACCAGCCTACTAGGAAAAAGACATTCAGTGGAAGGATTCAAGGTTTCCAACAAATCAGAGAGGAAATGGAGGTAGAGTGAGGACCGCAGGGATAAGGGAAAAGTGTGTGAAGCAAAAAATTGCTATTGCCAAAGAGTTATGATATGCTCTCTAATTTATTAATGCATTCCCTAATTGCAGCTAGTGTATGCAGTTGCAGTCATAGGCAGCTAGGCAAAAGACATACATATCTACACACATGTATACATATATTACTAACTACTGCTAAATGCGGGATGGATGACATTAATGTTAATAAGGATTCTTTGAAGGGAATGTTGTATGGAATACTAAATATCAGATGAGTGGAAAAGTAGAAACTTTTCAAGAAATAAAACTGCCAATTTGTTGATCAATATTGGAAAAAAATAATTTAAGAAACCACCAAACATAATATTTAGGTAAACCAACTCCATATGGTATGCATGCTAAAAGTATAATTTTTAAGTTTCAAAAGGGGATTTTTTTTTTAATTTTGAGATAGGAACATATATACTTAGCAAGACAAAGCAATAACTGAAATAAAAATAAATACTATATAGTATATGAAATCTGGAATGAAGCCGCCAAGATTACTTCGAAGAAAATCAATGTGTAATACCTACAATAAGAATGTCTTTCTAAAACTTGCAGGTATAAGAAATGTAAAAGAACAATACACATAAAAAGATATTCATCATTGTTGAAAAATTAGATTAAATCATGATAAGATAGGGATTTTTTTATATAAATAACCATTTTATTAGCAAAAAATAGAATTTCTAAAAATACATGTAAGTTCAAACCCAAAGGATATTTCCAACATTTCCTATCCAACATCTGCAGACTATAGCCCACTTGGGAAATGTCTCACATTTTCTAAAATATGACCTATGCAACTGACCAGCATCTACATTCCTCCAAATATACTTATGGCACTGTTACACATAGCCCTGTTCTGTTCTGAATAAATGAATAAATAAGCCCATGAGAAACTATTATATAAGTATGAGATATTTATCAGAATCCCCATGAATATTTGCACAGTGCTTTTCACAATTTCAAAATACTTGAAATAACTCCTAACATCCATTATTAAATGATAAGATTACTAGGGCCTCCCTGATGGTGCAGGGGTTAAAGTCTCAGCACTATCAAGCTATCACCAGCCAAGGAGGTGATTATTAAATCATACAGTAGGACATTGTGCACTTCAAAACATACACAACAATATAGAAAAATCTTAGTAAATGAATGTTAAGTGAAAATGATAATTTTCAAAAGTATGATATTTTGTATTTTTATAGCAGCTGAAAAAGGGAATGTCTTTTGGCAGAAGCAAAGGGGTGGGATAGTATGGTACTGAATGTAGGGTACTTGCTAGGTCATCCTAGCTTCTGCATGTCTCATAGATGCTTATTATAACCTTAAATACAAGTAAGCACACAGACAACATAAGCGAGCCAATTCAACATTTTAAAACCCTAAAATGTTTACAGAAAAGTAATTCATTTAACATTTTTTAGCATCTCAGTTAATCCCAACAGTAATATGTTTGCTTTGTGATACTCATTTGACATCCATTATATACCCACTAATGCGCAAAGGAGCTTTAATTCATGTAACAACCATTTAAGAAGTACCACTGTGAAATGAAGCCCAACTATAGCACTCCCTACATTTTAAAACCTCTGATGTCTCTCTTCACTCTGTTTGCAGATTAGTCATTTATACTTGCAGTGCCTTAGAGCACCTGCCAGAAAATATTCTTATTGCTCTTCACATTGACTCAAAACCCCTCTAGCTGCAGAAACATTCTCTCCTATTTGCCTGGGAAGCACCTGGTAGCACTGCAGGTTTAAATCAGGTGCTACAGCATTTATGCAACTTCTGGTCCCATAGTCTGTACAGCTCTCCTCTCTGCCCTACTGTAAACTTTTGGTCAGAAGACAATGAAAGGTATGAAATTATTTATGAGCAAATACTTAACCAATGCTTGTTAGTGTTGGGCATTGTCTAGGTAAAATGTAGTATTAGCTCAAATAGTCTCAGCTATTGTATTTGCTTTCTATTTCCTCCCACTAGACTAGTTCCAGGAACTAAATCTGAGTCTGAAATGGGTACAATAAAATAAACAAAGGATATACCATGTAAGAATAGAGTTGGGGAGAAAAAGAACCACAACGAGATCAAGTATATGTTGTATTTAGAAGGAAACATTAGTGCCAAGCAAAAGAGTTGTGGTTGAATTAGCTTGGCTTAATAGAGAGAATTGGGAAGCCAGAAGAAAAGCAGTGAATTTCAAAGATAAATTCCTAATGAGGACAGGCACACCAGTCAAGAAAGAGACCATCCCTCTCTCCCAGTAACTTTTACAACAAATGCGAATGGTAAATGACTCAGAAAAGGAAGGTGAATTTCCATCCACATAGAAGATCGCTACAGCATCTTACTTTTTCTCTTAAAACAATGACTCTAGTAGAATAAAGATGAACAAAGTGGAAATGTTATTTTTTTTCTGTTTAGTTTTTAATTTAAGATTTGAAAAGGGATATATCACCATCTATGATGGGATACAAACTACAGTCCATGCTAGGCAGGATTATATCTGTCAGATGAGAAAATAAAGCACAAAACTTCCTCTGACTCCTCAGTTTTATACCTTAGATAACATATAAAAAGAGAGCAAATATCCTCCTTTAAAAAAAATTACTCTTAGAAATAGAGGAAAATGTTAAAATTGTTCTAATTTTTACCCTCAAAATAATTTTGTAGTACATTACTTTTATGAACAATAAATACTCTGAGAGTAAAACAAGTGCTTCCAGATAAAAATATATTTACCAAATTAATAATGCAGTAAAGGAAATGAAGTTCAACTGAAAGTGGCATCAGGGAAATAAACACCATGTGAAGAAATTCTCAACTCCCTTACAAGAAAAGGATGAAGAAATGAAGATGGAAGTGAAGGAGGGAATGAAAAAGATGCTGGTCACAGGTGAGTGACAAGCAGTGCATACATACATACATAATATATATTTTATTTGATGTAGTCGATATATAAATTGAGATTTAAAATCAATAGAAAGTAGATCCCATTTCAAAAATAATAAAAATTAGAGTAGAATTAATGATCGTAGGGCCTTTGCTGGCGGAGCAACAGGTTAGAGTGCAGCACTCTGAAGCTCTCTGCAGCCGCTGCAGCCCAACTTCAATCCCCGGCCAGGGAGGTGACCCACATGGCACAGCAGACTGCTCCTAAGCCACCTGCTGCTCTTCTGGGCAGTATATTTCGGCTGATTTGCATGTTCTGTTTCCCACTCTGTCTCTGGTGAATCCTCTCATCCCCACACCTCTGGCTTGCACCCCAGCTCTTGTATGCATAAATAAATCTTCACTTATTTAAAACTCAGATATTTCTTTGTAGCAAGGGACAACTTCCAGTGAACAGAGGCTTCTGTAACTATTTAACAGGGTCTCATGTAGGACTAGTTATATGTTCTGCAACCACCCCAGGCAGGGAGGTTCACTGTCAGATCAGGCAGCTTGAAAAAGAAACTCGGAGCCCATGGCATCATCCCACAGTTAGGGGAGACAAGCCAGCAGGGAGACAGCAGCTCGGGCCCCTTGTGAGTCCCTACGGATTTCTTTCTTCCCATTAAAGCTTGTAGTCAAGTGGGACCTAATCTTTGCACATCTCAAAAACAGGTCTGGTGGCACTGACAGAGAGGCCAGGGAGCCCAGGGACACATGGAGAGGTAAGCTTAACTCATCTGCTTTAAGCATCTACCATGAGACAGGTTCTGAAAGAACAGAAACTTCTCAAAGTTTACCTTTAAGAACACAGACCTTGAAAAGTCAGAACACACGTAAATTTGAAGTTCTTGAGTGTCTCAGAACAATTACTATTCATAATCTATGCTGCCAAAAGCTTGAAGGAAAAAAATTCTTACCTGAAAAAGTAAGTTTCAGTGCTCTCATAGTGTCCAGGTGTAAGTTGGAGGGGAGGGAAGTTAACAGCCAAAGGCCTCACCATAAACAAGCCCATGGCCAATGCTACAAATAGGACAGGCAAAAGCAGGTCCGAGAGAGTGCTTTTCCAGGCACGGAGAGTGCGGCGAAACTTCTTCATCAGGAGGGCAGTCATCTGGGCCAGAAGCAGCTGGCCCCCCTGTGCCAGTGGGGTCCTTGCTGAAGTGGCATCTGCAGGGCACAGAAAGAGGCACCCTGAGTCTACAAGTACCCTGGCTCTGTGGATTCCCTTCTATTAATTTATGCATGATCCTGCGGTGACTTTTAGCACAGAAATACCATACGTTTTGACTCAGCACACTATGGACACTGTAGAAGGTTGCATATAACAGAATGTCTTAGGGTATCAATCCAAGGACAGAGTTCCTCTGTGGATGCCTTCTGACCTTCTAAAGGGAGTAAGACAAACATAAAAGGGCAAATGTGTATTTTTTCCTGCATAAATAAAACTCACTACATTAGCATGAGTTCTGAACATCAAAGACAAGAGAAGATATTCCGATATCCTCAAGTGCATAGAGATGAGGGCTGATGGGAGGAGAGAAAACGCAAGATTCTGACCAGAGGCAGGCCTCCTTCCACCCACCCCTTCTATTTTATTTTCCTCATTATTCCAACCATTCAAAGTCCTCTTGAGAAAGCTCCAAATTACAACCATAGGATTCAGGGGGCTCCGCATGTACTACACCTATCCAATTCCATCTGTCTTAAACCTTGCACCCCCTTTCCAAATCCAGGCCCCAAGGAACAGGGGCCTGGTGTGACCTCACCAAGGCAGCATCTCTGCAATATCCCCTTAGCTCAAGTCTCAGCCACCTGATTCTCCCTCCCTCGCATGGCAATAAGTCAACAGAAGGAAAGGTACAAGAGAATGCACCTGCATCAGCATCCTCTTGGTTGTCTAGCTCCATATTACACCATTAAATGGGGGCTCCAGAAAATTCCACCATAAACCTCCTGGGAAGGCCAAGCGGCAGGTGAAAGCACCTTGTAAATCCAGTGTGAGGCTGAGGGCAGAGGCAAAGAGACACAGACAGATGAAAGGCTTATGCCCTCAATTCACATCTAATGGAACAAGAAGGGGAAAGAAATATTCCAAAATTGAAGAAAACAAAGTCATTTAATACAGGAGGAGATGATCAGGAAAGTACAGTTTCCATGCATTTCAACCCCAACAGGAAAAAAAAAAAAAAAAAAAGGGCAGGAATATCCTAAAAGAACCTGCTGGTGCTTGATAATGAACTCTCCTGCTTAGAAACTAAATTAGTAGCTAAGTGTGTATAGTCAGATATAGATAAGCTGACTATGCCAA